AAGTTTTGTTCAAAATTCTGGCGAAAATTCCACAGAAACCTTTTTTCAAAGTAAAAAAGGCTATGAAAACGCAAATTCTCGGCTTCGCTGAGATAAGCTAAGATTTTGTTTCCTATATTTGCTTCATTTACATTCGTTCGATGTAATCAGGATAATAACATCCGGGGCGAACTCGGATGACTTCTGTTTTTTCCCAAGTGAAGGTTGTGTCCCCTCATAGCCCTCAATGTGAAGGTTACCAGAGTACGTGGCTCTATGTATCGAGGGTATGGTTTACTTTCATGCAAGATTGGCGCCAAAAAGGAATAATTGCACAGACGGTCGATTTGTCAAGGTTTTACCTGGGAATGTGAGAAAGTTTTTACGCAGAAATGTAACTCACGGTTGTCATCATCTTGATGGCGACTATCAAACCATTATAACCCCAGTAATTGATTCAGAATCGCATTTAGCCTCGGAGAATACTTTCTTTCCCTCAAAGTCACCCAACTTACATGAAAAAGCTTTTGGAATGATTAGCTGTTTACATTTCATTCGTGATGGTCGGCATCGCGAGGTAGATAAGTTCCAAAGCCATCATTTTGCGATAACGAGGAAGACATGTGGATAGCAGAACCACTGCGAGCCTCTGCGAAGCAGAGGATGCAATGGTGGTATAACATAATGCAAAATATCTATATACTAGATGCAGTCCCCGGTCCCGCCCGGGCCGAGAGTCCAGAATGGCCCAGCATAGGGTGTGCTTCAAGATGTATACTTACCAGTCCTCCACTTTCTTCAGTTCATATCTTCTGTTACTCTCCTGCTTCACCTCCAAGTCATTTTAGCGCTCGTGCAGTATCCGTGGTGAATAGTCTTCTTTCTTGACCGGCTCGCTTCATGCACCGATGCCCCTCACGGCAAAACGTAAATGATCTCTACCACCCCTTACTACTCACTTGGAGAAATGAATGGTATAGCCTTCATTTTCCTAAATTTTAGTAAACAAAATCAATAAATCGATAGAAGAACCCAGCGAATTGTCGCGAAAAGTAGCCTATCTTCTGCGCCGTGGCTTGTTTATAGGGGAACAAAATTCAGCTTCTTCGGTTCACATACAAAGGAGTCTATAAGCCACAAACATCCTAACAAACAAATGTACAGTGTTTGAGTTTTATATATATTAGGTTGAACCGAAAGTTCGTTCGTACCATTTTCAAAAAATCATAACTTCTTTCCGTCACGACGATTTTGCGCAATTCAAATCTTATTAAAAAGCGTAAAGCATGTAGTTTACAATAGTCCCCTGGCGATTTCCAGTATGTTCAGATTGCAGAGATAAAAATGAAAGAACGAAAACATCCGAAATTCGGAATTTTTAAGCAAAAATTCTAAAAATCTAGAAACTGCGCGATAAAATCCAGAAAAGCCATTATCCTAATTTTTCTTATATTCGATTACTAACTGAGTTAATTTTGTGCTGATCGAGCTCTTCTTTTAAAAGTTATGATTTTTTGAGAAAAAAATGCCGAAAATCAATTACTTAGGAATTCTTAGGAAAGTGATTTTTCGGAATTTTTTTCAAACAAACTGCGAACGGTGCGAACGAACTTTCGGTTCAACCTAATATATATAAAACTCAAACACTGTACATTTGTTTGTAAGGATGTTTGTGGCTTATAGACTCCTTATGTTAACCGAAGAAGCTGAATTTTGTTTCCCTATAAACAAGCCACGGCGCAGAAGATAGGCTACTTTCCGCGACAATTCGCTGGGTCCTTCTATCGATTTGTTGATTTGCTTACGTAAATCTAGAAAATGAAGGACTTATCAAACCATTTCTCTAAGTTAAGTTGTAAGGGCGGTGGAAATCACTTACACTTTGCGGTGAGGAGGATACGGTGTCACGAAGCGATGTCAAGAAGGAGGGCGATTTTACCACGGATACCACAGAAGCGCAGTAATTCGAACTCGGAGCAAGTAAGAAAAGAAGACGAGATATAAATTGAAAAAAATGGAGGAATGGTGAGCCATAGGACGATTGGAACAGGCACTATGCAGGGGCCACTTTGGACTCTCGGCCCGGGCGGGACCGGGGACGGCGGCTAGTGAAATACAAAAAATGTTGACATGCACGTAAAGATCTTGCAGGTCTCACGTCATTCATATGACTTGATGGACGACTGAGCTGGAAGCGAATGATGTTCCAATCCAAAAATATATTTGTTGCTGATTTCGATACTTTCCTTCTGCCGTACAGTTGTTGTAAGATTTTATTGCCTAGCGTTTCTCACAACGCGGTCATCAGAGGCTCAAAACCAGTACTTCAATCCACGAAATGATCGCCAAACATCTCCCGCTCGACCATTTGAATGCCCTTCAGTAGAAGCAGGAAGTCTGCGAGCAGAGTTTTTGCTCTTTTTTCTCGTTCTTTTCGTTTTTGCAGCGGCGAAAACATAAAACAGAAATCGGAGGATGACAGCTGAAATAATAATTGCAAATGGTTATACTATGCGCCCTAGACGAACAAAGAGAGCACCAGCAAAGGCGAGTGAACAGAACACGAACAAAATACCTCTGCGCATCCCTTATATCTCCGAAAATGTCAATACTGCTATAAGACAATGCTTGATACGAACATAGATAGAGAACGAAGTTGGTGAATATTACCCGAGCCAACATCAACACACAGTTGGTAAGTATCCGAATTTATGACAAAGTTGTACCACGCAAAATTGTATGATATGCGCCATGGAAAAGCTGGAAATTGTTCGAGGTCTGGCGTTGTGTAAACGTGCTCTGCCATATACATCAGTGAAACAGTTAGACCACTGTGCATGCGCCTAAACGAACATTTGGGTAGCAAAAAGTGGCGGAACGTATGGAGTCTGCTAGGAAAGCATAGAAAGACAGATCATAGCGATACCGATCTCGACATTTGCATAATCTTGGACTATACAAATCTCCGCTAGTAAGGAGCTCGAGGCATTCTGATTCTTGTACTGACCCCAAGATCAACAGCAAGAATGAACAATCATAACTTATAATAACGGGCTAAGGGTGTTTACGTGTTTGTGTGTGTGTGTGTGTGTGTGTGTGTGTGTGTGTGTGTGTGTGTGTGTGTGTGTGTGTGTGTGTGTGTGTGTGTGTGTGTGTGTGTGTGTGTGTGTGTGTGTGTGTGTGTGTTTCAGCGAGTTTCAGCCACCCTCTTGAGCCCAAATTTTGCATAGCGCATGCTACCAGTTTAAGACTCAACCATGCAAGAGCACGAGCGGATTCGCTGGATGGACCCTTCAGTTTTTGCCCGTCAGACGGATCCACATGGCTTCTGGCCCGCAAAAGTGTGTCCGTATCAACACTTTTTGCAAAGTCGTGAATGTTTTTGGCATGATGATATGCAAGTCATGGACTTTAGACCAAAAAATGAGCGAATGTCTACTACTTTATGAAAACGACGCCAAGAAGGATTGGTTGCTTAAATGGTCAATTTGCCAAGATTTCACCCGAACATTTGAGAGGGTTTTTGCACAACGGTGTAACTCGCGGTAATTGCTGTCCTTGAGGCGATTATGAAGCCAAAAAAAGTCCAAAAGCTTCAAGTTTGCATTTGTTCTTCTGTGAAAAGTCCCATTTATGCGAAATCACCGATCTCACTTGAAAAAGCTATTGGAATGAGTAGTTGTTTACAATATATTCGTGATAGTCGGCAATGCGCGGTGAGTTTCGAAGCCATCATTAGGCAAGAATGAGAAAGGCAGTAATAAATAGTAGAACCAGTGCGAGCCTCTGCGAAGCAGAGGTGACGCACTGGTTATCTATAACTGGAGATTTAATGCCGTACTTGACATACAGTGACCGCCAAAAAGTTGCACAAGCCGCCCTCCTTATTTATCTCTCATTTTCGGATGGAAAATAAAGGTGAAAAATTGAATGGATTGCATGAGGCGATAGAGCTCTTCAAAAGCTACAAGCCACACATTGCGCTTTCTGGAAAACATGTAGTTTAAAAATTTTAAATATCTTTCTCTAGAAAGGGCCGGAAGATAGCCGCGTCACAATGTCGCGGACAATAATTCTTCGAACGCGAAAATTTTCTTTTAGGTCTTTTTTGGAGCGAAAACAAAGGTTTCTGGATAGTTAAGCATACAATGTTGTAGAACTCATCAAGGACAATAATCCGGTAGTGGTTACATCCAGAAAAACCCAAGCTTAATTTTTATTTTGCTTCTTTTCAAAAAATTACTTCTGATTCCCTGCTTCAAGCCAAATTTCTTCGCATGGAAACCCATTCCAGATATTCCAACAAAGCTATTCGGATAAAGCGGATGCCTTTTGCCATCTTCTATGCATCTGACGTGTGCTGTTTCTTTGCTGAAAATGGCTTTTGACAGTGCGTACACATGACCTCACTTGCACCTCACCACTGACATGCACCGCTTTGCAGGGTTGTAGCTCGGCCAGCAGTCATTCTATGAGCTTGCAAGCAGGCTCATTCGAAAGAACGTGACTTCCTCGACACGATGGTATGCAAATCAGTTGTGTCTGGGAAGTCCTTTTGAGATTTGACGGATGGGGTGACAAAGCGCAGAGTTAGAGGTGATTAGAGTGGAGGCTTTTATCAACACCAGAACAGCCCTAAAGCTTCGAAATAGATCTATTACAAAAACATTGACAGCTTTAAACTTCCAGTATGGAACTTGTAGCGAAAGAAGTGTTTAACTCTAGCTGGAAATCCTTAGCCTACCAGCCTGAAGCTGCGCTTTTTCACCTCATCCGCCAAATCTCCGCTGTTTTTTACCCAACTTTTTTGCACCATCGTGTCGAGGAAGTCACGCTCTTTCGAATGAGCCTACCTGCAAGCTCATAGAGTGACTGCTGGCCGAGCTACAACCCTGCAAAGCGGTGCAAGTCAGTGGTGAAGTGCAGGTGGGATCATGTGCACGCACTGTCAAAAGCCATTTTTAGCAAAGAAATTCACTAGCACACGTCCGATGCATAGAAGATGGCAAAAGGCATCCGCTTTATCCGAATAGCTTTGTTGGAATATCTGGAATGGGTTTCCATGTGAAGAAATTTGGCTTGAAGCAGGGAATCAGAAGTAATCCTTTGAAAAGAAGCAAAATAAAAATTAAGCTTGGGTTTTTCTGAAATTAACCACTACCGGATTATTGTCCTCGATAAGTTCTACAACATAGTATGCTTAGCTATCCGGAAAACTTTTGTTTTCGCTCCAAAAAAGACCTAAAAGAAAATTTTCGCGTTCGAAAAATTATTGTCCGCGACATTGTGACGCGGCCATCTTCCGACTTTTTTTAGAGAAAGATTTTTAAAATTTTTAAATTACATGTTCTCCAAAAAGCGCAATGTGTGGGTTGTAGCTTTTGAAGAGCTCTATCGCCATTCAGTTTTTCACCTCTGTTTTCCACCTGAAAGTGAGAGATAAAAAAGGAGGGCGGCTTTCCGCAACTTTTTGGCGGTCACTCTATTGCAAGCTATGATATCATTTGCTCTATTTGAGCATTTCGTTGATATCGCGACTGCTTTCTAAGGTTGCGAAAAAATCTGAGGCCGTACTATAGATTCTATAATCAAATGTTCGCAAACGAGAAAAAAAAATTCTGCTGTTTGGACTTTTCTGTGAAGAGTAGTGATTTTTGAAAAGCTGTCAAATTAATTAATTTTGGCGTTTCTGTAATCTATATTGATCTTCATCTTCCGTAAAGATGGAGGCTTAGACGCGCTTACAAGTGATAAGATTTCTTCTTTATATGAAATTACAAGCCCTTTGAAATAGCTAGTTACAAAATTTTCAAGAATAAAACGGCAGAATTTTCAGGACAACCTAATACGTACTTCCTGATGTGACAGTCTTAGCGACCTCCTTGAACATATGATGAATTCTTCGATTGCAGAAAATGATAGTAATTTTGATTTTCTTCCACTCACTTCATCTCACAGTTCGTATGACATTCAATGCTGTGAGAACTGAACCAAGCGCGATAGGTTCATAATCCGGCAGCGCAATCAAATATCGTCGCTTTTTTCTCACGGGATCTCTAGCATAGAGCTCTCGGCTATCGCGTTTCTGTTGACCCGCGAAAACTCAGCTCTAGATGCAAAACACATAGAAAGGGATAAATAGAAACTCAAGGGCTGAGCTGGATGTGAGAATAACATCTTATGTATAAAATTTGTAGAATATTTGTTCACTATCACATCGCATGAGATGCGAAATGTGGGGACAAACATTACCTCCTAATCACGCTCCTCTTTCTTCCTCTCCCACTCCCTTATTCGAAGAATTTTCAAAGCCGAGGACTATTTTTCAATACACACTGTCATGAAGTTTTTGCTGTTACCTCCTCAACATGGAGTAAACAATTGAACAATGAGAACTGATTAACAGATGAAGGCAGAAGAAGGGATGATGGGGGAAGGGGGCGGGAGGGAAAGGAGTGGAAAAATGAATTATGAAATTAGAAGCAATCTAATTACGAGCTGTAAAAATACGTGAATGACTCTTTGTTCGCAGTAGCTCAGATGATGTTCAGATAAGATAAAATATAATCCAGTTCTATACAAAAAAATACTCGGGGCGTACAAATTTAGGTTGTTTCCAGAATTTTTTGGAAGGTTGTCACCAACGCCACCATTTACCGACAATAGTTATTTTTGCAAATACTTTTCAAAAATGTTGAACAACCTTCGTGAAATTTGCAATACAGGATGTCCCAATTGAGTCTTTCGAGAAGCCTTAGGTACCATTTTGTAGAGCTGGCTTTAACTCAAATTTTCAGTATGTAGCGAATTTAGCGCTTTCTTAATTACTGTAAGATTACGGTAGGAATTCTGAGGAGGGTTTCGCGTCCACTATAATCATATTTAACCTCTACAAAAGAAATAGAGAAGTCAATCAGGGTTGCTGATTCCAAATATGAAACTTGCACTTCACTGTAACGCTTTTTTCGTATAACGTGACGACGGATTTCTAATATTCGTCGAAAATTTGTTTAAGCCATTCAAAAGTTCTGCGAAACCGCAAAAAGTTACGTAGTGAGATTAGCAGGCATGAAATCTTGTTAAAAAAATTTCCAAATCTAAAAAAATTCGTAAGCCATCTTACAGTGGCGCCATATGCTGCGAGTTCCTAATGTGATATTACAGCAATGAAAGGAGGCCGACAATCCGCTCCATATGTAAACCTAAGTTAGAGCCAGCTCTACAAAATGGTACCTAATTTTCCCGATAGATTTTATGATGAGAAGCTTGTCAACAATCAAACAGTAGGCACATTTTTGGGGCACCTTATATTTAAAGTGGGCTGTATATGGTAGAAAAGTAAAAAGGATACCAGGAACCCGCAAGTGAAATACAGCACGCAAATTACTGGTTCTGCATAAATGCCAATAAATCTTGAAGAAATGCTTTGTCATAAATTACAAGTACTTTAAGAGGCTTTCAGCCAGTGAAAGCTTTCTTTTACTCTGCAAGAGTATTTATACATCATAGGAAACAAGGCTATGAATTTAAGAAAAATTTTCTCTGAGCAGAATTGTTTATTCGTAGAAGAAAATTCTAAAAAATTAACACCATAAGGCACATCAAAAAAATGCACACAACGCGGTTCGAATCAACTATGAACAAATTGCAGCAAACAAATGAATCTCTCCAGAAAAAGAATATATGGCGTTAAACGTTGTTTGTTTTTGACTAATCAATGGTATTCAGCTCATCTGACATACATCTAAACACACCTGACTAGCCAAATGCGCAAAAATTCGTACAAAAGCGAAAGTCTTTCGTGATATTTTGTTATTTTGTGTATGGTACAGATCTTGTTCCAAAATAAGCAATGTCGAGAGCTCGAGCCATTTTAAGGATTCTTAAGGACGCCTCGTGGAGTGCCATCTGGATTAAAGCGCACTCTGAATGATAGGAAAATGGAAAGATGATCTATTCTATAGAGGAGGAGAAGTGGTGTGGGACAGTCACAAACCTTTGCTTGGATGATGGCAGACTGGACGTGGACGATCCATGGTACATTTCATTATCATCGCGATATTGTGGTGGATGTGTGGAAAACACCACAGTCCCCATTGGGATTCCCAGACCGCCTGTAAAAACAAATATAAGCTAGGAAGAAGATACCAAAAATTTTGCCGGTAGATATAGTGTGCTTGCGTTGCCGGCAGCAATTGCGGGTAAGCAATGGCAACAAAGCGCGCTCCATGGCCAATTTTGCGCGCCACGCCGTTGGCAGCATTCACAAATACCCTCTCCTCCATGACGAAGGCGGTCGCCCAAATAGGTTGACAGCATGCAAGGCTGACGCGCACGCGGCGCGCGGGCAATTGTCAGCCACGGGTCGCGCGCACGCTCGCGTGAATGACCGCTGACCGAGCGTGCGCGCGCCCTGTGGTTGACAATTGCGCGCGCGCCGCAGCTTTGCATGGTTTCAACCTATTTGGGCGACCGCCTTCGTCTTGGAGCAGATATTACACCAATCCCTCGCAATGTTGCCGTCACCGCAGAAACACTATAGTGATGGTTAAATTTATTAGCCTACGAACTTTCCAAAACTGCAAATGAAGACTGAAATTTTTTTCCTAAACCTATCCACCCCCTCCCCCATTACTGATCGATTTCGTTGCGCCAAGTTTCTCCCCACAGCTGACAAATCCCACACAATGACGATCTCGTTTCCTTTGAAAAACTTCATGACATCGATTCGTCACCGTTACGTTCTCTTGCGAAAAGGGTGTGGTATCGCAGATGAATGACTAATGGGAATGCGACAAAAGCAGACAGGTGTTCGAATGGGTAATAAAGATATAATATTGATCAGTAAGACATTTCCTTGAGCATAAAATTTATAGGCATTTTCTCGGTTTTGTACCTTGCGTAAGTGAAGTGATTCACTGCGATAAAATGAAGCTAATGAATTGGAAGAAAATTTACATTCAAAATAAAACCCGTAAGATAAAATTTGCATCATTATCGGTGTGACTAGAACGAGAGAGAATCACTTCAAAAGTGATTTTTTCTACAAGCTATCTTTTCACTCCAAAAAACTTCTATTAAAAAATAAGCTTTGAAAATCAGCGAGTTTCTAAACCATAAAGCTGTGATAGTCTTAATCGATAGTAAAAATTTTTTGTGCAGTTTAAAGTACCCTATTTTCAGGTGTACAAGAGGTGCACCCTTTTTGCTCTAAACGGAGCAGACCCAGGCGTGCCGCTGCGCATCTGCCTCGAGAAGCGGTCGCTTTTTCGCACATTGCTCTCACTTAACGCGCCCTATCGTAACAGGCAGTCTTTTGGCGTGTGCGCCTTTAGAGTGAAAAAGATGCGGCTTATACACCTGAAAATAGGATAGGTAAAGGTGCAAGGCGGCCTACGAGCTGCTCTAAATGCCTACGAAAAAATCAATAATATAATAAATTGCAGGCAACGACTCAAAGGCATTGCACACTTCCTTTGCTGCTCATTTTGCCAATCATATCTTTAAGATGCGGAAAAATAATTTATACTATTTTATTTCCATCGACGCATTCAATCTTACACATCTCATGAGTTCGGCAAGTTGATTTATAATTGTTGATTCGTGAATTAAGAGGGATTTATAAATCAAAAGGCTAACAAGAGATATGTGAGAACATTCAACTTTCAGATGGCAGTAATAATAAAAAGTTCTTGTAGCTAATATCTTTTCTTGAGACTAAATTCTACCAATTTACCATTTTAATCCTCAGTAGTCATATTTTTGGAATGCTGTAGAAATTTCTTTGCTATAGCAACATGTTTTTTTCAACGACTATGCGGTAGTCCGCGCCTAAACCCATTCTCCTTGACCCGCTATCGCTTCCGTACAAATTACGAGCAATTCGTCCTAATGTTTCAGAAAGTTCGGGGAAAATCGGATTGGTTAAAAACATTAGCAGGAAAACTTCTCCCCTTGTACCACCCGAACCCTTAAGCCGTACTTAGATATTATTTTCATTTTATTTTGTCTCACAATTTGTTGGAGGTGCATTGATTTTACGGAGATCTCTTTCACACAAAGCACTTCATTTCACGCCACCTACACTGGAAGCGGATTTAGCCCTTTTCGCACCCTATGACCTAGTAATTCCGTGATTTCTAACTGCTCGATAGCAGAGCGACAAGCACAGTGCACTTGTAAACAAAAGATCGCATCTTTCGAGAGATTAGGCAAATAATGCCGTGCACACTTTGCGCAAAGAGATATTCGACAGCGAATTTTCACTGCTTAGAGATATCGATTGATGCAAACACACACAATCATTTGGGAACCGGTTACTTTCATTGTCTTAGCAGTAAAAGTTTTCTTTTCTTCTACGAGAGATGGAAAATTTCGTAGGTGAAAGTAAAAAGCGCACTGTGATCAATCACTTCAAGCTATGGTACCGAAACAGCCTCATGAATTGGAAGAAGATTTACATTCAAAATAAAACCCGTAAGATAAAATTTGCATCATTATCGGTGTGACTAGAACGAGAGAGAATCACTTTCAAAAGTATTTTTTTCTACAAGGTTCCACACGTGATCATTTTAATCTTTTTTGTCATATTTGGGAAAATTCAGATTTTATCACTAGCAGTACGAAGAGACCATGACTACTTTAAATGAAACTGTGTCATAGAAATCTATCAATCCAAAATATACCTATAAATTTATCAATGCAAATACCAATGAGATTTTTTTGTAGAATGTAAAATGTTATGAAAAACTTCGGAACGAAATTGTAAATAGAAGAGATTCTTAAAAGGCTACAGTATTTGTGGCAGCGCGGCTGCAACGCGGTTTGGTGCCTATGAGATCCTTCACATCTATCCTGTATTTCGCTCTAATTTCGTCACAGCAAACAGAAAAATAGCATGTATTTCTTGCGGCTTTATTATCGAGCTAAGAAAATATGTTGAAAAAATCACAGTTTTTTACGGCAGATTATTTAAGGGAAGACTTTGAGAGGAAGAAAAGGAGGAAAATTGCAATAAACTCACAACAGAGTGGATACCATCCGCTTTCGTGAACACTCTCGTACATTTGTGGATTACGACGACGATGCAGCCAACAGCCATTGCACAGCAGACAACAGAAGAATGAAAGAAGAATAGACAGAAGTATGGAGACGATTAGTCCGATCACAAGAAGTGTATAGTCGATTCTGCAAAAAAAAATTTCTAAAAAAATCGGAAAAGCTCGAGTTTATTTGTAATGTTCGATACTTACTGGAAAGTGCTTCCATAGGCAACAAATCGCTCTGCTCGAGTCTTCTGAACACCATTTTCAATTCGATTATCATCGTCGGGACCACAGCAGTAATAGCCCTGAATTATTGACTCCAAAAACGATATTCAGAAAGGCCAGTAGATATCTACCAAAGAATGGATAGCTATCGAAAATAAGAGAATTAATAGCAGGAACTGGATAGATAAGGGAGCAGTATGTAGAACTCGTGGTTTTTGTTGATGAAATTGACGATAGACTTTTTTTTATTACGGGGCAATGCGCATGGCACTTTCTGAATTAGCTTACTCTATCCTTTCTTTACGTTTCAGTCTACAACATTACATAATTTGATAGGATAAGAATTATTGCTAATATAACGTATGTACGAATTTTCCTCTTTTGAAAATATTGAGTCTTCATCTCTTATCGTCTTTTAATAAAAGCCCGCACATTATGACACACAAAAACATTAGAAACAGCGTTGGAGCATTAGCTCGTAAAGTTATTGACAAATGAGCTAACGATTAAAAAAATTCTTACCTGATCTGCACCTTCAAACGAAGGGCAGCATGCATGTGCGCATTCCAAAACGTAACCGTTCGAAAATGTCGGACATCGCACCTAAATGATTACGTCAATAGATAATTTGTCGGATGATATCTTTATAAATCTTTATCGTACTTCATATAAAGCTAAAATACTCCTCTATTATTTGCATTAGAGCGCACAGATTACTGGCTCTAGATATGTTTTTCGACACCAAAATCTGACCCACAAAGCCCCGAAGAAAATTTGCTAAGCGATTATTTCCAGAACACATTGGGCAATTTCTTGATCATTTACACTCCATCTTTGCAAATGCGGTAAGATCATCATTTCTAGCCACACATTCCTTCAATTAGCATTTACCATAAATAAAGCTAGCTTTATTGAAACTGCCTTTAGAGCAGATAACCATGCATGAGATGCGTAAAATTTGAAGAGGTATGCAAAACAACGTAAAATAAATACTTCCTTAGAATTCATAGGTTTCTGCAATTGTTAGCAATGATCTATTTGAGTTATCCAAAAAAGCGAAAAGACCGAAATCTTTGTTTATCCAAGAGATTAGTGTGGCACCTTTGCGCTTGTTACTCATATCGTATTTAAATAGATGTATAAATGATAAATTCAGAGCGCAAGCTTTTTTACAAAATATTTGAAATGTTCTGATAAGTCAACGCGGAATATTGCCGTTGTAATGACAAAACGCAAAAAAAACTCCGCATCAAGTTTTTTATTGCACATAAACTTATGTCTTATTCACTTTCAAGCACCAGGTTGGCGAATACTTTCGTTATTCTTGTTTTTAAGCCCCAAAAAAAGCTGAGTAATCGTCTTTGCCAAGCTGTAGTATTTGCACAGTAAATGTGATGGAGTTGTGCCTTTCAAAACGGCTATGGAGCAAGAAAATTTCTGACGCAATCGTTTCACATAGCGATCACATTAATCGCTAGTCATTTGGCGCAAGACAGATTTTATGTATAGAGCTTATGGAAAACAAAAGGAAGAACAGTGAGAGAGGTTCTTACACTGTCTATTATAATTAGAAAAAAGAATAAAAATTTTTGCAGCGAGATTTCACTGAAATATTTCTGATAGAGAAGTTAAGTGCAGTTTAAAAAGCTATCAGAGCCTCTTTGTTGATTTGCAATGACCTTGACTTTGCGGAAATCCGATCAGCTATAGTACACCTTCGAAAACAAGCAAATAAATGTGGTGATGGATCAATAAAGCCTGGGACTGGAACAGAATCTTGAGGTTCGTGAGATTTTTTCAGGGGAGAAGCGGAGCTTAGGGTGAAAAATTGAATGACAATAGAAAAGTGCGTCCTCTACCAAAACGAGGATTTCACTAATGATTTAAAATTTACCTTAGCACTAATCAGTGGTAAAAAGGCGAGAAGTAGCGGGAATAAACACGTGGTACGGTGCAGCATCCCTTAACAGCAGTTAGGGAGGAGCCCCCGGACGTCGTTTTGCTCGTCTCACCGTTGATCGACGCAAGGAAACTGGTTTCGAAGCCCAGTCATCGAGACGCCCCCCTACCGCATTCAACTAACACTGAGACAGACAATCACTTAGTACTGTTATGTCTGAACAGGCTGCATGAGTACGGACAAGAGCATGAATTCTTCTGAGGGAGAAAACAGGGCAATGAACATTTCTTCCGCAGCCTTTTGAAAAAATAGGAACCAAACTGTAAGTTAGAAGAAAACGAAATTGTAGTCTTTGCCATAGAGGAGAAAATGCGAAAGGAGAAAGAGAGACAGAGGATAAAATTCCAGCTCCGAAGTTCTCTTTCCACAATATCATTGAAAATTTTTCATGCTGTATGTCACACCTGGTCGATTCTTTTGTTGACACATTTGATGACGAATCTCCGCCATTAGTCATTATAGACGGGGAAAAGAATATGTAATAATATTAGGTTGGCTAATAAATAAGTTCGGTCGCTTTTTCAGCTCTTGCAAATGCTGTAGACAAATTTTCGTCCAATATTTGGTATCTCTGAAAAGAGCACTTCACTGGGTATTGGAGCATATATTCTGTTTGAGTAAAACTTATCTTCCCAGGGAAAAAATCCGCAAAGAAGTGAAAAATCGCAATTTTCCCATAACGCGCAAATATGAGGAAATTTGGTTTTCTTAGTGAAACATTTTCAAAATGGCAGATCACAGTTCTTTTTGTTGTTAACTAAATAGAGATAACTCCTCTGTATCCAAATACCAAACTGCTGTTCTTTACATCCATTACAGCATAAAAACGAAGCTCAAGAAGTCAAAGAATTGAGCCTTTGGAAATTTCGCCATGTTGAGGCATAACTGTTTTTACTGACCATAGAAAATCCTGATTATGTGATATGTGATAGAGGAAGCCTCGATCTACTTTCCCACAAAGAATCATAGGTTGAAGACAACAAGAAACTTTTTTATGACAATTTGTATGTCAAAACGAACTTACTTTTTAGCCAACCTAATAGTATGTGCCATGAATCCGTATTGTTTCAGCTGCAGATGCAGATTTTGATTTTTTCTCCTTTCCGGGATCCCCAGCATGAGACCTAGAGCTGATAAGAAATCCTTCCTTGGACGCCCTCTGGGTAGCGTGTCAAGATTAAACTTCCTATTTATTAGGGTTGGCATACAAGTAATGGACTTTTCATACAACTTTTGTCTTTTTTGAACGCAGGGCATTCATTTCCTGGCAATATAAAGATTATGATGTGAACCCGTGGGAGTTACTCGACATGCTGATCACAAAAATGAATGGTTCGCATGAAAAGGCTTCTTTCATAAGGTCAAGGAATAAATTTCCATCTTAGCGACAAAAGAATATGATATTCGCGTTCCCCAGGTTGAATTAAAGTATTGTGCAAATAGCGAATTCTGAGGTTTCGCAGCTAAGTTATTGACAAATGGCCTTCCAAATTTGACAATATTCTAATTCAACTTCTCAAAGGCGCCTTATTTGATTTGTCTTCAAACTTCATTTTCCCTTTACTGTTTCTGATGTGTCAACTTCTAGCTAGTGCTGCCCATAATTCCCTTTTTGATGTGTTTATTCAGCTTGTATTTTGTACGGCTTCATGTTATCCACGAAAAAACCCGTAAAATCACAATTTTCTGCAGTTTTCGGAAGTTTAAATTTTTTTGCTACAGTATGAAAAATTAATGGTTTTTTGGCAGACTTGCAGCATACAACACATTCTGTATGATGTCAAAGAATGAAGGTGTTACATTGAATAAGAAAAAAGTTATGGGAGAAGTTGCAAAACTTACGTGCCAACCTATTAAATGGGTTGAATAGCTTTATCTTCCAACTCTTTCTTGCATATTGAATGTTTATGATTAGGTATCCAATGTCCACTTACTCAGTTGAATTTTTCGTTTGCATCTATTCGGCAACTTGGCTGAGTCCATTCTGTTCAACAAGGAATGAATGGGTTTATATGTAGGCTTTAACGTGAGTTGTGTGAATGTTATAACAATCTGTGGCTACCACCACGCCCCTGTTTTCCAAAATTTTGGGCTTGTAGAGCAGCGGAAATTCTGGGAAGCATCCCAATAAATGTTTAGTAGCTAACCTCACGCATTTCATTGAAAATTGTCCCCACCCCACGACGGCAATTGGAATATACGAAAATTTTTTTATATCTTCGTGAGATTTTGTCGAATTTGGACACATAATGTCAGAGAATCGAAATGCTTAGTTTCTGATACGATAAAAGTTCAGTTTGAAGCCTGATTATTGGTTTCCCATCCAAACGCCACAAAAATCATTGAATGTGTATAATTAAAATAGAAATTAAGTTTGCGACTTCCTTCATAATTTTACTCTCTTTGAATGTGGCGCAATCAAACTTCAGAAATATGTAGACTGTGATGTGTGCCACATCTGCGCACAGACTGTTCAATTTTTGTCAGAAAAGAAAGAAATTTCAGGCGTTTTTTAATAAGTAGTGACTAGCAGGATTTGTGGAATTGCAAGCAAGGAACCGTTTGCAACCTAGATTGTGTACAAGGGTCCGAAATTGCCTACAAATTGCTGCTAGAAGTTGACTCAATAACTTCAGCAAGAAAGAAATAGAATTTGAAATTAAGTCAGGGTATAGAGCCTATAGGAAGTTCAAGTAGTTCAAGTGGTAGTTCAAGCTGCACTTACAAGGGGAGGAAGGTTGGTCGAAGTGGCCTTTTGAGATGTGATGTACACTGACTTGTAGAGCTTGGGACGCTGACTCCAAATCCACCTTTCTTATCTGCTGCGGGCTTCTGGGCGAGGAGTTATGAAGGTTTTCGTGAGTAAAAATTTCAGTGCAAAATTACTATAAAGTCAGTCGTAACCTTTTCCTAACGTTCAAATGAGGCAGTAGCGAGTCGGTATATTTTAAACATGAATCTTTGTTGCACTGAGTGACCCGATTACCAGTTAAGCCCTAGAAAAAAATGTTACGACTGATTTTACACTAGTCTTGCAATCAACTTTTTACTCACAAAAACCTTCATAACTCCTCGCCCAGAAGCCCGCAGCAGATAGCGAAGAAATGGAGTCAGCGCTCCAAGCTCTACAAGATAGTATGCATCCCTTTTCAAAAGGCCACTTCGACCAACCTTCCTTTCCTTGTTAGAGCAGGGCACAGATGGCTTACGAGTCAAGCTGGATATCGTTTTGGAATGAAAAGCAAGGGGGATATCGTTGACAACCCCAGCCCCCCCCCTCTCCCCCACACACACACACACACACACACACACACACACACACACACACACACACACACACACACACACACACACACACACACACACACACACACACACACACACACACACACACACACACACACACACACACACACACACACACACACACACACACACACACACACACACACACACACACACACACACACACACACACACACACACACACACACACACACACACACACACACACACACACACACACACACACACACACACACACACACACACACACACACACACACACACACACACACACACACACACACACACACACACACACACACACACACACACACACACACACACACACACACACACACACACACACACACACACACACACACACACACACACACACACGTAAACACTCTTAGCCCGTTATTATAAGTGTTCATTCTTGCTGTTGATCTTGGGTTCAGTACAAGAATCAGAATGCCTCAAGCTCCTTACTAGCGGAGATTTGTATAGTCCAAGATTATGCACTTAATGTCGAGATCGGTACCGCTATGATCTGTCTTTCCAAGCTTTCCTAGCAGACTCCATATGTTCTGCCGCTTTTTGCTACCCAAATGTTCGTTTACGCGCATGCACAGTGATAACTGTTTTACTGATGTATATGGCAGAGCGCGTTTACACAACGCCAGATCTCGAACAATTTCCAGCTTTTCCATGACGCATATCATACAATTTTGCGTCGTACAACTTTGTCATAGATTCGGTTTCTTACCAGCTGTGTATTGATGTTGGCTCGGGTAATATTCACCAACTTCGTTCTCTATCTATGCTCGTATCAAGCATTGTCTTATAGCAGTATTGAAATTTTCGGAGATATAAGGGATGCGCAGAGGTATTTTGTTCGTGTTCTGTTCACTCGCCTTTGCTGGTGCTCTCTTTGTTCGTCTAGGGCGCATAGTATAACCATTTGCAATTGTCATTTCAGCTGTCATCCTCCGATTTCTGTTTTATGTTTTCGCCGCTACAAAAACGAAAAAAACGAGAAAAAGAGCAAAAACTCTGCTGGCAGACTTCCTGCTTCCATTGAAGGGCATTCAAATGGTCGAGCGGGAGATGTTTGGCGACCAAATCGTGGATTGAAGTACTGACTCTTTTAAGCTTCTGATGACCGCGTTGTGAGAAACGCTAGGCAATAAAATCTTATAACAACCTGTACGGCAGAAGGAAAGTATCGAAATCAGCAACAAATATATTTTTAAATTGGAACATCATTCGCTTCCAGCTTAGTCGTCCATCAAGTCATAGGAATGACGTGAGACCTGCAAGATCTTTACGTGCATGTCAACATTTTTTGTATTTCACTAGCCGCCGTCCCCGGTCCCGCCCGGGCCGAGGGTCCAAAGTGGCCCCTGCATAGTGCCTGTTCCAAATCGTCCTATGGCTCACCATACCTCCTTTTTCTTCAATTTATATCTCGTCTTCCTTTCTTACTTGCTCCGAGTTCGAATTACTGCGCTTCTGTGGTATCCGTGATGAAATCGCCCTCCTTCTTGACATCCTAGCTTCGTGACACCGCATCCTCCTCACCGCAAAGTGTAAGTGATTTCCACCGCCTTTACAACTTAACTTAGAGAAATGGTTTGATAAGTCTTTCATTTCCTAGATTTACGTAAACAAATCAATAAATCGATAGAAGGACCCAGCGAATTGTCGCGGAAAGTAGCCTATCTTCTACGCCGTGGCTTGTTTATAGGGAAACAAAATTCAGCTTCTTCGGTTAACAGAAGGAGTCTAGCCAGAAACATCCTTACAAACAAATGTACAGTGTTTGAGTTTTATATATATTAGGTTGAACCGAAAGTTCGTTCGCACCGTTCGCAGTTTGTTTGAAAAAGATTCCGAAAAATCACTTTCTTAAGAATTTCTAAGAAATTGATTTTCGGCATTTTTTTCTCAAAAAATCATAACTTTTGAAAGAAGAGCTCGATCAGCACAAACTTAACTCAGTTAGTAATCATATATAAGAAAAATTAGGATAATGGCTTTTCTGGATTTTATCGCGCAGTTTCTAGATTCTAGAATTTTTGCTTAAAAATTCCGAATTTCGGATGTTTTCGTTCTTTCATTTTTATCTCTGCAATCTGAACATGCTGGAAAGTCGCCAGAGGACTGTTGGAAACTACATGCTTTACGCTTTCTATTAAGATTCAAATTGCGCAAAATCGTCGTGACGGAAAAAAGTTATGATTTTTTAAAAATGGTACGAACGAACTTTCGGTTCAACCTAATATATAGATATTGCATTATGTTATACCACCATTGCATCCTCTGCTTCGCAGAGGCTCGCAGTGGTTCTGCTATCCACATGTCTTCCTCGTTATCGCAAAGTGATGGCTTTGGAACTTATCATTGAGTCACTTGTTACTTAATATGCGTAGTGCACACTCTACACGCTAATTGACGAACTATAAAACTGGAACATCCTCATTTCCTGTAATTTCTCCTTCTTTCCTTATTTCCCTTGTTTTTGTTGGTTACCTGTTAGTCAGTAGAACAGATTTCTACACTTTGCTAAGCTAGAAAATGTTTTACTGGGAAGTTACTAGTATGGGTGCCGTCGTTGATAGGGCTTAGTGTGCATTCTCACATATTAAGTTACAAATGACTCGAGGTCACCTCGCGATGCCGACCATCACGAATGAAATGTAAACAGCTAATCATTCCAAAAGCTTTTTCATGTAAGATGGGTGACTTTGAGGGAAAGAAAGTATTCTCCGAGGCTAAATGCGATTCTGAATCAATTACTGGGGTTATAATGGTTTGATAGTCGCCATCAAGATGATGACAACCGTGAGTTACATCTCTAAGCAAAAATTTTCTCACATTCCCGAGTAAAACTTTGACAATCGATCATCTATGCAATTACTCCTTTTGATGCCGATCTTGCATGAAAGTAAACTTTTTGCTCACTTTTCGGGCAGGAGTCCATGCTTTGCGGATTTACTTGCTAAACGAAACCATGACTTTGGAAGTCCAATTACAGGCCCACTTTGGCGCGCGAAATGTCGCGTGGATCTGTTTGGCGCACAATTTCGCAGGTTCCAGTTATCGGATCGGTTTGTGCTTTTGCATATTTTACCTACATGCTGATAGGGTCTACTACCAAATTTCTAGCTCAAGACCTTTGCGGAACTCGCTCTACGAATTTCGTGACAGACACAGATTCAGACACATACATACATACATACGTACATACATACATACATACATACATACATACATACATACATACATACATACATACATACATACACACACACAACCCTTAGCCCGTTATTATAAGTTACTAGCTTGCTTACCCGGCTCCGCTCGGCCCCGTCAAAACACTGTAATAAAGGTCTTATCCCTATCCTTGTACAGCCTTTCCCTGTGCGCACTTTTACACTTCATTTCCCGTTCCCTGTGTTGTTTTCGAAATCAACATGCCTACTTACCCCCCCCCGTGCCAACTCCCAGCCCTGTAGCTCAAAATTTGCAAATAATCGATAATATTGATAAAGGTAATAGGTAGCACCGAAAACTAACATTGTATCCGTAATCAGCATGCCCAAATACCCCCGTGTGCCAACTTCCAGCCCTGTAGCTCAAACTTTGCGAATAATCGATAAAATTGATAAAGTAATAGGTAGCACCAAAAACTAATATTGTATTCGGAACCGCCATGCACTTACCCCCCTCCCCCTCTGCCAACTCCCAGCCCGTAGATGAACTACGCAAAAAATCGGTAAAAATCGATAAAATCGATATCGATCGATAACGAAAAGTGGCCTATGGCACGCTTCCTTCCCTATGTGCCAAGTTTGGTCCAAATCGGTTCAGAAATAAAAATTTTCATCTTGCACATGTACACACATACATACATACAGACAGAAACAGACATTCAGCTTTATATATAAGATGATGTTTCTTTCCTTACATGAATACAAGATTCCCCCCTCCCTCCAGCTGCGCAAATGTTGCGTAGAGCGAGATAATTCTTCACAAGAAGCGCATACTGTCAACGGATTTCTTACAGGCATATAGTATAGTGTTAGTATTTGGGCAGAAGTCAGACTTCGTATAGTTTGAAGGCAAAGTACTCTGATAACTCTAGAATTTCGAAGTCGGAAAGAATGATGGGTGATCGCTTCGAAAATTCGTAAGCTAATTTTTTCTTCACAAAACAACATGCGAAGACATTAGCTATACAGGGTTGGGGGAAAGTCTTTGAACACGGTATTTTTAACGTAATGATGAAGCTAGGCAAGATGATTACATGATAACAATAGGTAATGTTTACATAACTGTCTGCTACACAAAACTAGCTTTACAATTCGAAAATTCCTCCTTTGACACGAGCACAAGCTTGGAAACGCTTGGGAACGATGTCCATGGTGGCACGGAGGTGCTTTACGTCGATTTCTTCCAACGCCTTCTGAAGAGCAGGAATGATATCCACGAAATTCCATAATGGAGGAAAATGGACTTTCAAGCCCCATTTTATTCGTTTGCGGTGGAGAGTGGTCGGAATCTGCTTTCGCTCGCGTTATCCAAAAATTTTCATCCCATCGCAACCACGAGGCAAAGCGGTGAAATGAAAATGATTTAACCCTACCTGAGCTCTCGCTTGCGAAATGATGACGTCAAAAGTCCATTTAGAATGTGGCAAAATAGGATTTACCTCCATTTTAAATGGACTTGAAAGCTTATTTTATTCCCAGCAGCAACTCAGATAATCGCCGGGGGCAGGCGGTCCGCGAACTCGCGCTTTTCTGCAGGCGGTCAGCAGGATTTCGGGGCGTGGCCAAATCTTCAGCGGGCGGTATTTGCGTTTTCTGCAAGCGGGCATCAATACAAAATTTTCTGCAAGCGCTCGTCAAACAATCTCTTTCAGCGAGCGCTGGCCAAACTTTCAGCAGGCGCTCAGACTCTTTTTACGCAGTTTCGGGCGTACGCCGAGAAAAGATGGGACTCTATGTGGCAGAGGTGTCATCGATGGTTTTATTACCCAAGTTTGGGGTACTTTCTTTCAGCGGAAAGTACCTGAGGGCTGTGCGGTCCTTCAAAAAGGACCGTGCGGCTCTCAATAATTTTGCATGTTCTCGCGGAAAATCCGCGAGAATGCGGCCACTGTGCCGCAACTTATGTATAGAAAAACCGCGATAGATCTTCGAGCGTTCGTCTAAAAATTGGCCAAAATTATTCCAAATTTCTGCAAGCGGACCACAAAAAATCAGCGAACTATTTTTCCGGTGCCCGCTTGCTCAAAATTCGCATGGCCGCTTGCCCCCGGCGATTATCTGAGAAGGTGAGCTGGGACTAAGCCCATTTTTGACTTTTTTGCATATTTTTGATTGCGATTTTTTGGGAATGTGTTCCTCAACCTATCCTACGGTAGGTGAGTGGAAAAAGTTTCATGTCTTTTATGAAGTCTGAAATAAGTGTTTCTTTCTAAACTCATAGAAACGCTATAAAAACGTAGAAAAAGATCAAATTCACCCAAATATTCGCTAACAAACCCAAATGCTTCTTATATCAGGTCAATCAGAAAATTCTTATGTAAAACAAATAAAGTTTGTTAACTCTTCAAATCATCAACCAAAACCAAATTCATGATTTGTAATCTAAAATTTGAGAAAAATTGTGCTTCAATGTGATTACTTAGAAGCTATCTTTGGCTAATTTCGTAGAACCGAACCTCAGAGACGGCATTTTAAACGCAATTTTGAGTTTGGTCCAAAAGAATTACTGAAGTGCCGCTAGCTAGCTAGAGAAATTCCATGAAAAATTTCTTACTAGATTAGTCCATACATTCAACTCCTTAGATTTACAAATATTAGTGCTGAAAGACAAAGAAAAGCTAATATAGAGCACTTGCGAAGTCATCTTTTGGGATTCAAAGTTTTTGCGAATTGAAAAACCCTTTGAGCTGTAGTGTAGTACAAGGTTTCTTGTAAGGAGCATTTTGGTTCACAGATTGCAGTGCAACTCCAGCCAGAGTTTGCTTTTTGCAGAAATCTCCACATACGAATTCGATTTAATGCTGATTCGTAGAAGTTTTGAAGCGAAGGCCCGGATATTACATGAATTTTAGTCGTGGAAATGATTTAGATGCATAGTCATCAATAACGAATGGCATTCTGTTAGGTGTAACGATGTGGGAAAGAATAGAATAGCCACTTGAGTGACATTGTAATGTTAGGTCAGCCTAGTTAGATATCGACCACTTGGTGGAAATTAGTTTGCAAGAGTGAGCAAACAGGTTGAGACAAGTTAAAGAAAGGTTAGTTGAAGCATTTTTTTATGGAATGAATGTGTTCGCGAATGCGATATCTTATTGCACCTCATGGACTAAGTCCATTTTATTCGCACGAAAAGCCCATTTCGCGGGGACTTTCGTGGATATCATTCCAGGTCGCAGAGATTCCACTGTCTTGAGTGCGTGAGCGCAAGCTTTGGCCTAAAGAACTGACACACACTGTAGTAGGGGGTATTCAGATCCGGCCAATACGGAGGCCATTCCGCAGGAGTAATGAATTCCTTGAGTTGCTTTGGAGCCATGCTTGAACAAACTTCGCTTTGTGCGCAGATGCGCTAATCTGCTGGGAACACCAATCGCTCCTGGCAAAATGGGTATTGGTCCAGGTCAACGACCCCTTCTTCAGGATGCTATCCACGTGCGTAGCGGTGTCCACCTCGATGTCGTGGGACACAAAAATTGCCAGCATCTTGTTGTCGGAAGCGATCGCGCTCAAACCATTACAGAAGTCGGATGAAGCTTTCCTTTTGCGAGTCAACCCTTGCTACTGACTTTTGAGGGCAATTAGGCAATGATTCTGTTGTTTGGCAATTAAAAACTTTTCTCACGATAAAAATTTTGACGTCAGAAAAGAGTATCGTTCGGTGGCGTGCCTTGGAGAGACGTTTACGCAGTCGATGGCATCTGCGCAGTCAGCTCAGCTTCATGTCCACAAAAAGCATAAAATTTTAGCGTCCTGAAAGGCTTCATCGCAAGGCCCTTTTTTACGATCTCGGAGACTGTCCTGCCAGAGATGAACAGCTCTGAAGCCAGCTCAATCAAGCTTCGCCAAGGATTGCGACGTGGTGTCCGTTGGCGAAAGATTTTCAGAATTTCGATACTGTCCACAGTAGCCAATTTACCTCTCATACAACAGTTCTGGGTGCTGTTCATCTCCTGGAAACGACGCAAGGTGGAGAGGACCCTGATCTGTAAAATTTGGGGAGCCCGCGCAATTTGCTGTCAGCAATTCTCTCCTTGTGCATCTTCTCAACCAACGCTCGCTCCATTCCAGAAGGCATATCTCCGATAGGAAAAAAAGCTAATAGTCCAGTTTTTGAGGGTTTGTACTCAAGAGTATAAGAAGCAAACATATATAATTACAAGGACATCAAAAATCGTTCAAGGAATTTCCCCCAACCCTGTAACATGCTAGTAAGAGCAAGTAAGAAGTTCGTAAAATTTTCTCAAATGATTTCCAAGTTTCCTCTTTCTTGAACCTCGGCATCGTTAATGTAATGTGTTAGTAGGTGAGTAAGCCGACCGAGATTAGTAGTATGCTAGTATACAAGTGGCATCGAAAGACGGCCGCCCTAACATCCGTGCCGACGAAGAAGACGAATTGTTCGAAATGTTAGACCGCCACATAAGGATCTACTAACCTCGATTGGCTTACTCACCTACTAAACTTCTCAATTGAGATCCAGTTTTTGATTCACTAGATTTTAAATTTTCGCTTCGAACTGCATTCTTTACGATGTATACACCTCCCTTTGATTCAAATGAGTGGCTGGATTGCGTCTGCGGAATTCGAAGCTTAATTAAGACTAGAGGATGGTCAGGGAGCACTCTCGCGAGAGAGACGTAGACTGCGTCGCGGGTGCGAACGGGCTACTTCCAGCCGCCAATCCCATTGAATTGAAGGCTTTCTATGGTAATTATTCTGTAAAGCATGCTAGCTCTATCGAATTGCGTCCCGCCCATCATTAGTACGTTGTCTGTAGCAGAAGGAGTCAATTTTGCATCAAAATAATTTTATCTTGGACGCAAAGATCAGCGAAAGTGCTACGAGAGCTGATCACAAATTGACGTAACAGCGGCACATTTTAAAAAAACCAAGAGGTCTCATCGTATACTACAAGCCTTACTAGTTATAATTTCAAGATCTTGTTCCTGTATGTGCTACCGAGAGATATCAAGTTTTACATGAAAAACCCGAAAAAAGTGGCATAGCATTTTTAGGCCATCTTTTTTTTCTTAATTTTGGCCGGAAAAAATCCTTCAAGTACATTTTGAGGTACTACTATGTGTCTATCTTATAAAGACCAAGGTGAGTCCGTAGGAATCTTCTGGAAGAAGAGCCGATTTTTAAGGTCTTTAAAAAATTTTGATTTCACCTGGATTAGAGTTGAGCGGATCTTAAGTGATTTTTTCTGTAGAGCTTGCTCCGTTCTATCGAATGGTAGCATAGGTCTGTTAGGGAAATGAGAACAGCTCAAATCATTTGGAAATGGAGTTTACTTTTGGGAC